TGTAAGACATGATATTCTTTCTTCTACATGTTCCAATCCATTTGTGAGCCTTCCTCTGTACTTTTAATTCAACTTTCTGAATTTTTCATTTAAACTCCTAATTTTGGGGGGCTTTTCTTGAGAGTTTATATCTTTATTAAATTTTATCTTTGGTTTTAATTGTTTTCATCATTTCATTAAATTCTTTATGTTCTTGCTGTCTTCATTCTGATGTTTATTCCTATCCTCACTGTGTTTCTTGAAAACATTCATTATTTCTAATTTCAAACTATCGTGTATGCCAACTAAGTTGTTTCGGGGGGAATTTTCCTTAGTGGTACTAATTTGGGGAGAAGATATTTTGTTCTTGCTGTTCAAGTTTTTTGTGTTTTTTTTATGGGGCCTGTGGATCTGAAGTTACATAATTGGCAGTGTTTCATGTTACAGATCTCTGTTCTCTGCTCTGTTGAGTGAGTGTTTGGATTCCTTTTTGTTGTTAGCTCAGTGTGTTAGGTCATGGACCAATTGGATGGTATATGGGTTTAGTGTTGAGGCATCTCGGTATTGATATTCTAATGGGGTGTCACAGGTGATAATGGTTCTGCTAGGGCTGGGTGAAGCTTCTAGTCCCAGGAGTACCCCTGTGAGAAACAAGAGTCTCACAGTTGATGCTTTCTAATCTGGAAGAGGAGCAGAGGAATCCTCTACAGGTAACTGGGATAGGCAGATTTGGTAACAGGTGCCTGCGTTCTTACCTAAAGAGGAGTAGCATGTGGGTGGGTGGCCGTAGCGTATGTGAAAATAGTGTGCGTATGTGTATGTTGCTATGTGTGTGTGTGCACATGTGCACGTGTGTGTAGCACAGTTGTTCAAACTGATATGAGCTTAGCTAGGACTTCATAAAGCTTCTGAACCCATGTGCAGACATTCTGTAAACTTATACAACTCTCAAAACCAATCTTCATGAGCCTGAGAGAGGTGCAGCAGACTCATCCTCTTGCCAGAAGAGAGGGTGGAATTGACAGCAGGAGTGTGTGTTCTTAACTAGATTGGAAGGGATGCCAGATAGGTAGGCTAAGGACATGCATTCCTCATATATCCATATGCCTTTAAAAGCATACAGGTGTGTGTGTGTGTGTGTGTGTGTGTGTGTGTGTGTGTGTGTATTCCCTCAGGGGCCATAAAATGGCATTGGATCCCCTGGAGCTAGGTTAAAGGCAGGCATGAGCCACATGGCACAGGCACTGGGAAGCACCTCTCACTCTTATTAAATGGAGAAATCATCAAGGAAAACGAAGTGTGCCTGAAACATGCACAGAGAATTGCAGCAGTGTATGTGAGGACAAAAAAGACCACTAGGTAACTAAGGGAAAACAGTGTCTACATTGTGGATACAACCTATAAAGTGCATGATTCAAATTCTTGTCAGGGTAAACTTGGGTTGTGTTAGATTTTCTTACATATAAATGTGTACAGTCTAAGACTGTTGACTTTTAGGTGAACACAAAATAGGAAATTTTTTTTGTGTGCAAACAAATACACTAGATTTCGAAAGAAACATACTGTTTCTATATCCTTCACCTCAGGCTGTCAGGCAAACAAGAAGTGTTTGTTCAAAGCAGGGCTCATTCATGTTCATGTTTCCTGAAGGAAAATCCACAGTCTTTAACAAACCTCCTTTAAACAGTAAACAATTTTAAGAGAAACTCTATCTCCCAAAGCAAATATAGCACACTATTTATTTCTTCTTGAAATTTGTGTTTAGTAATATTCTGTCCCATTTGACAGTAATCAGAACTGAAGAAACTGCAGGTGTCTGTGGAGCCCTGACATGTCTCAGCTCACCTGCTCACTCAGAATCCTGTTCTCAGCATCAGAGAACAACCCAGCTTAAACAAAGAATAATGCTTTGGCATAGATGTTACAGGACGACCAAGTACTCAGAATAGCAACATATTAGGTATTAGGCAAATGCATACAGATGTGTTTTATTGGAGAAATATGGCAAACATTGAAGCAAAGAAGGAAACATGCGCCTGCAGGGTCAAACTGAGGACCATTTCTTCATTTCCTCAGAGGTAAGGACAGCAAGCTTGATTTGGAATGTAGCATGAGAAGGACATTTCACCTGCAACTCAGTCTTCCTTCCACCTCTTCTTTGGCTCTTAATGGTGTCACCAAAGCCTTGAATTATAAGGTTATAAAAATAATGCTATACTTGCTGTATCCTCTTTCTATTTGTATGTAATTTTGGTAACATTTTTGCATTTTTCTTTCTCCATAAGTTAAAAATAATATTTATTTAGTCAGACATGGTGGCACATGCCTTTGATCTCAGCACTCTGGAGGCAAAGGCAAAGGAATCTCTATGAGATCTAGGCCAGACTAATCTAAATAAATATTTCCAGGCCAGCTAAGGGTACAAGGAGGCTTTGTCTCAAATAAAAAATAGTTTATTTAAACACTTGTTGCCACAGAGTCTCTTGTGACGGCAGATAATGAAACCTGGAAGTGATGAGCCCAGGGGCAAGAACAGCTCAGCAAGACACATGCTGCTGACACAGGTGACCTCAGGCACAGAATATTCTGAAGATTCTGGCACTAGTTTCTACACTCACAGACCCATCTACAAAATTGAATGCCTTAACCTATGGCTTTAGAAATGAATGCTATTTGTTAGGTACTCCTTTCCCACAGCGCTCTTCTCTGAGCTCTGGTGCTAGAGGAGCATCTAGTGTTGCTCCTTAGGTCATGTGTCTGCATTCTAGATGCAGGGTAATAGGAGAGGGAGTTTTTCTTTTATCACTTAGAAGGAAGAGAAATGTCAGTATCTGACAGTTAAGGTGTTGAAAGGTCTTGGGTTGCTCATCACAGACTTTCCATGGATAGATCATGAGTTGTGTTTAAATGAACTCCAGAAATGTAAAATTGTATAGCTTTTCTGCTGAGAAATGTGTTCATTTTACAAAAGAATGACCAATTCTTCTTTTATTTGGAGCACACAACAAAGGTTTTTGAACTTTTAGGGGAAAAAAACTAGTTTCACAGAGGATAACATCTAAAAACTTAATTTACATGTTTTCAATTATCTGAAAGATCATAATTATATTGAATTAACACAATGAATGAAGAAGCTCAATATATATGTATATATAAAGGTAACAGAATAGATAAAATAATTTCTGAAACAAAGAGTGACTTGATCCAAATCATGCAGTAATTATAATCCAATACGTTTTTTAAAAACATGGAACTAAATACATTAAAATGAAAATACAAAGACAGACAAAAGAAACTATTTCCTCATCCTGGAACTTAGGAAACTAACACAATAACAATCAACAGTGGAAGTATTTTTGAAACTGTTTCAATGTATTTTATTGGCACCTCAAAATGAATGAAATATAATTCACATGTTTTCTAAGGAGATTGTAGAGTTTAATATCTCCAACTAAAAGATTTTATGATTGTCACTTGTGATTTAACCTGGAGAACTTGACTCTTTTGTTGTAACTAGTTTGATAATCTCAAATTTCATATGCTGTGTACAAAATTTGCATAGAAATCATGGCCTGAAAACTTGAAATAATCAGGAGCTGAATAATTTTTCTGGTTCTATAAATCAAGGAAGTTTCTTACAAAATATCAAAGAAAAATGCATACAATGAAAACAAATATTGCAATTGAAAAATATTGTCAGTGTTTGGATTGTTGAGCTTTCACACACTTGAAAACACTTAGGAAAGGAGTTTTTGCTACTTTTACAAATCTCCAACATCCCCAATAATGCTTACCATTGCATGTCAAGCATCTGTTATGAGTTCAACCTTATGAATCATTCCTCATGAAATAATAACATCAGAGTTTTAGAACTAAGGTGCTGTGGCCTCACAATATTAATTGTCCCATAGAATGATGTAGCGGTTATGGAAAGATATATTGTCATATAATTTAAGGGAGATGAACATTTTGTATACTTTGATTCAATAGACATATTCTTTAGAATAATGGAGGCAAAACTTCAACCTGTTATTCAGATATTGTCTTACTGTTCTCCGACTGACTTGAAACTCTCTTTGTAGAAGAGGTTGGCCAGGTCTCACAGAGATCTGTCTGCCTCTGCCTCTAGAGTGCTGGGATAAATGTTGTGTGCCACCACACCCTGAAAAAAATCAATTTTTAGCATTACTTATAAGAATAAAATATTAAAAGTACTTAATATATGTTAATGAGTGAATGGTTAGATGAATTTTACTTTGTATGTTAAAGTGTGACTATAGGAAAATTATAATAATAAGAATACAATGGGAAACTGGTGATGTCATAAGATTCCATTTTAACACATTGATGTTACATTTAGGAAAAGTTGAATCTAAAAAATTTGAAAATGAATGGTTAATGTGAAAATTAAGATTTGTTGAGTAGAATTTTGTGAAGTATCACTTTTGTTATTTTTATTATCATCACATTGCCTCTGCAGTGAAATCATGGGCTTGGTTGTCAGTGTGTCCTGTGTGAGTACATTATGAGGTCAGAAGTACTAGGTCAATATTACAAGGTTGTGACTATTTCTTTTCTTATTATTTGAAGGAGCAAGAAATGTTTCAATAATAAACTGCTAAGAAATCAGAGGTCCTTCCGTAAAGATTATGTTTATATAATGTTTCATTTACAGGTAAAGTGTATTACTCTTAACAGACATCACTAATCAAAAGAACCTGAATGACTAAAAACATTTATGTGTTTAACTTTACTGCTATTAAAAACAGGACAGAAATATTTTTGGCTGAATGAATGCACTACCTAAAATCAAGTTCACAGCCCCCTTCATGGTCTCATTCCTCAGAATGTAAATAAAAGGGTTGACTGTCGGGGTAGTACTATGTAGAAGATAGAGATTTTGAGGTGTACAGCAGTTGGAGACTCTGAGGTTGGCTTAAGATATGCACAGGCGCCTGTTGACCTAAAAAATGAGACCACACAGGGGTGGGGAAGGCAAGTAGAGAAGAACTTAGACCAACCTTCAACAGAGGGCATCCTGAGGACTGTGGAGAATATGTGGACATAGGAGAGGGTGAAGGCGAAGAAGCAGGCAAACCCCAATAAAGACATAAAAGCAACCACTCCAATCACTCCAGGGTAATCATTAGAACAGGACAGTTTGAGCAACTGTAGAACATCACAGAAGAATTGGTAGATAATTTTGTCCCTGCACAATCTGACAGAGAATGTTGTTGCTATGTACAAATTTACCAAGATACATCCACTTATCCACACAGCTGTCATGGCCCATTTGCATGTTGTGAGACTCATGATGACTTCATAATGCAGTGGGAGGCAGATGGCCACATAGCCGTCATCGGACATCACTGTGAGAATGGCCACTTCAGCAGAAGCCAAAGACATGAAGAAGAAAACCTGCAGCACACACTGAGCATAGGAAATGCAGCCACTTCCTGTCAGGGAATTGTGCGTAGACTGGGGGACAGTGACAGAAAGTAAGGAGATGTCAAGAAGGGCAAGGTGCCTCAGGAAGTAATACATTGGAGATTGGAACTACAGTTTCTGCGTTGTGACAGTGATAATGATGATGATGTTACATGCCAAGCCCAGCAGATACATCACCAATAAGAGCAAAGCTTGTGGGATCTGCATCTCCCTGTTTTCAGAGAACCCAGGGAGGAGGAAGCCACTCACTGTGGCTATGTTTATCAGAATCATTTTGTGAATAGAAATTGTGGAAGAAGCTGGAAAATAAAAAGGCCCGGTAAGTGCAGTGGAAAGTCACTGAGGTACTGTTCATTAGCTCATCAACACTTATTCAGCACTTAATGTTTCAATGCCTTTTTTAGTTTTGTGAATTTTTGTGAATTTCATACAATATTTTATTGTATTTAGATCCTCTCCTCTCTTTCCCTGTCCCATTATTATTCCCCAATCAATTTTTCTCTCTCTCTCACATATGAGAGAGAGCATACTAAAGAGTCAAATTTGTATCCTCCAAAGTCACACCCTTAAAGGGACTGACTTGACTCTCCCCCTCCCAGCAACCATTGGTACTCCTCAGGTAGTGCTTCTTACCTATTTCCTTATGTCTATGTAGGGATTTTGTCTGGCATGTGATTACATGAGAGTTGCACATACTGTTACCATTGTTATGAGTTCATGTAAGCAACTAATAAGATCTCTTGAAAAAAAAAGTCTCCTTGTGACTTTGTGATCACTTACCACGTACCTACCTGACACCTGGATCTAACAATCTTATTGTTATCCTGTTCATAGATAAGCACTCTACAGTCTCTTATTCTCTGCACATAGGCCAGTTGTGGGATTCTATGTTAAGCACCATCTGCTGCATAAGGAAGTTTCTTATGAAACTTCTTATGAAAGCTGAGAGATGCACTAATCTATGAGAATAAAGCCACTGTTTTGTTTTAAATTATCAATAGAAATTCAGTGTCTAGTTGTGAAGGACAGATTTTAGAACAGTGGATTTGTCATGTATAGCTAGGACATGGCACAATTTAGCAGAATGAAAACACGTTTTGAAGAAATATGAACCTGGAATTAATATATGGTTTGACTCTGGACTGGAAATGGCTATTGTCTCCTAGGAAACAATATTGTCAGTCAGTCTAAGGGGAGACTCTGTCATTGTGATACCAAATATCAAAATGTGTAGCTTTACTACTTTTCAAAATATTTCGAGGGTGGTGTTGTGATCTAGAGTAAGAAATATTGTGCAAGGGCAATACTCACATGTTACTTTTAAGTGTCTGATTTGATTTCATGCAGTGTTTCCAGGATCAAGCAACTTCTATCTGAATCCTGTTACTCATAACACTGGACTTCAGCTGCAGCCTCTAATATTTACTAGCACATATTACAAGCAAAGACAGTTGCAAAGATAGACAGTGATTTCTTCTATTTTAAAAGTGAAGGACATTAGTAAATATACAGAGTACAACTGCTATAAGGGATTAGAAATTTAAAGTGATCTGTTTCAGATAACAGAGAAACCATATTTCAGTTCATGATCTTCATTTTGATCCTTAGTTGGTTTTAAATAACCTGCCATTTGCCCACCACTGAAATACATGCTCATTTTTAATGACTTCATGAGAGGTTAATGAGTCTCATGTTGCCTCAATTTTTCTTTTCTTTTCTTTCCACCACTATGTTTTAGGCATGAACTGTAAATTCTTTGCCAGTATTTGAAGGCTCTAAGTCATGTTAAATATCATTAGATCTTCTCCTGTGTTTACTTCCAAACTCATCTATTTAGAAACAAAATCTCAGAGACTCTACTGTGGGGTCATTGCTCCCAGGCCTCACATCAGTCTCAGGTATTTTCCATCTGGTGCCCGTCTCTCCTGTCGAAACCCACAGGACTTGCCCTGCTGTCTCACATCTTTTGCAAATAATGAACTTGATACCAGCTATTCCATATTTACATCTTGGCACTGACAGGTTTTGGGGTCTTGATTACAAAAGAAAATGACTTTTAAGGCTAAACTTGTTGGGAGAAAACTAATTCTCAATTCTGTGGCAGGAAACTCCTGATTTCAAACCAGAGTGGATTTTATGGCAAGATCCTCTGTCTAATGGAAATAAAAACTCCATTACACAAACTGGATATTTTGAACTTTTTCTGTAGGTGGCACAGATGTAAGCCTCTTGCTTCATGCTCTGTGTACTACATTCCCCACTTCAGTCCTTCTACAACGTCCTCATGTTTGTTGACTCCTTCAAAACCTCATGTGCCACACTAGAAAGCAGGGGAAACAGAGAGCTGTTGTTTCCCACAGTTTCCCTGTTTCCAAATTCTGTTTTCTAAATCTGTTTTAATTTGAAGTTGATATAATGATAAAGAGAATGATTGTTCATTACAAAAATTTTAAGAATTATTTAATATCAAGTTTTGAATATTCCAATTCAAAAAGGAGTCACTCAGAAGACAGAAGTAAGAAAGCTGAATGACAGGATGCTATGCTTGAGCCCAAATTATAACCAGTCTCATTGAGTCACACAGAAGTTCCATCTTCTTGGAATAAAGCACTTTAATGTCTGCATTTATAGGAAAAATTTAAGACTTAAGCATGCTTGAGCCATAGAATTGAGTCTGAGTTCAAAAATGTATGTATTTATTATTTAAAAAATAACAGAATTAGACTATCCTCAGGCCTCTTGTGGTAAGTCTATAGCGCAGCTCTCCGCGCCGGGACTCCCTAAGCCTCATTCACCATTCCACCCCACCCCCCACCCCCCTGCCTCCCCGGCCACTGTTCTATACTCTAGTTTGGACCCTGTGCCATTCCTAGTCTTGGGGCCCCAGACACCTGGGGAACCAATACTGTTTCCTGATCCTTCTCACCCAGAGCAACTCAGGCCCTTTCTTGGGCTCCAGGAGCACCGCTTCTGGTCCTG